GGGGGGGGGGGGGGGGGGGGGGGGGGGGGGGGGGGATTGAGGGTTCAGCTAGAGACATAAGCGGATTCAAAAAGAAAAGAAGCAGCGCAAAGAAGCGTGCCACACGAGACCGCAAGCAAAAGCACGGGCGTTTAACCGACGAACGGGGTACTGAACGCAAGCCACAGGATGCACTTGCACCAACACCATACAGCCGTGCAACGGTATCAAACAGGTTGCACGAGCACTGTGCTGGCGTGCAACGGTTTCAAGGAGCAGGCTCCTGAAATCGGACTTCATTTTCGGGCCGACAGACCTGGGCTGTTGAGGATGAGCAGATTCTTGACAATCTTGTTGGTGGCGGTGTTGAGGTCTTTCAGCAGAGACGGTCCCGACAGCACACTGTCGCTCGGCCCGAGGCAGAAGTTGAGCTCCCCCATGAAGGAGTCGATCTCCGCGCTGCCCCAAACAAAAACGAGACGTCGGCAACGGTCCGAAAAGGGTGGGTGCCGCGGTGATGAACACTTGGCACGGGGTCGGCACGCCCTCTTGTGGATGCAAAACAAACGCTGGTAGTGGTGCTCATGGTTGTTGAAGCGACGGGATTGCTGCTGTTCGGTATTGGAGTTACCATGAGACGTGCGGAGGAACGCGCGGGATACACAAGGGGAAGAACCGGCCAGACGGTGAAGCAACAGAGGAATGGAGCGCCGTAACCGGGCCTCTCTATCCCTAGGTCGGTATTGCTCCTTCCAAGAAGAAGGAAATGTCCAAGTCGTGATACAAAATCGATCCCCGTCTGCAAGCAGGTCTCGGTCGAGACTTGTGTTTCATTCGGAGTTGGGCCCGAAAGCTGCCTTGGTATACGCAAATCTTATCCCGGCGATTCAACAAACATCCCTGCGTCGTCGCTAAAGTCGGTGCCGTTCGCACTTGACGCGTTACCGAAAACCAAAAACTGGGAATGGGAGAAACGCCACATGCCGTGCGCGAATCAGAGGAGCTTAGAGGTTTCAGCCACCGCCGCATATGAATTATTCTAAACTTGTGAGTGTACGCAGCATACATGCTCGCCGTAGGTTCTTCACATTTGAAGCACAGATGCCGTGGAATTTCATGGCAACCTAGTTTCGGGTCAATACGGGGATATGGGGAAAATATCGGCGGGGAAACCTGCATGTTTTTGAGCAAATTATCCTCAAGGAGGAGGCCGTCGTCGTGGCTCGATGTGGCGATACGAATGCTGCTGTCAAAAATCTCCTTGTCCGTCGAATGGTGTTGAAGACAACGGGAATGGACACAACGTTGCTTGGAGATTACCAATGCATGTGGCGCACCGGCTTCGATGTTGGTATCGCGGTAGGTACAGCAGTACAGTGGTTAAAAAATAGGTAACCAGGCACGGCTCGATGCAGCTGCGGCTTTGCTCTTCCTCAAACCGTGAAAGTGGACTCTATCTGTGGAGCGCTTGCTGGAGAGATCATACCGACATACCGACCAATCGGGTGTTGTCGGCATGTGCCCCACCTCGAACATTCCGCAGAGTAGGACACTGCTGGGTAGACTCGACCGCGTATATCACGTGCAACACATAATAACAATCCTATCTGCAACGGATACAGGCGTCAATCCTTGCAGTAGTATCGCTTACCGCTGCCGTTGCTGCACCGCGGTAGTTTCAACATACCTAAAAGTAAGGACTGTTGACGTGTCAAACATTCCACAAGTAGATTGATGCCCCCGCCCTCCCCCGCCCCGGGTTGATACTGACTTGTCCCGAATATGTTGCGGGACGCATGTTTTCACGGAGTTGGTTCTTATGCTTACCTCTCCCTGTTGTCGAACTGGGTCAGCGACGAGGAAGCGGCACCGGGCACTTGCGTCTCCATGTCGGTGGCGTCCGCCTGCATCCACACCCCCTTGTTGCAATACCGCCCCCCTCGTTGTCTTGGTCGCCTACCGCTGCTGCTGCTGCTGCTACGGCTTGGCTCTCCGCAGCAGGTCGGTTGCTGCAGTAGTCGCGACTGGTCATGTGTCCAACTCGACCATCCAAATGTTGCTTTCGAGTGAACAAACGCAGCTGCCTTGAAGCTATTGAACGGGCAGAGCGTAAAGGCCAGAAGCAGCCCTTCCGACAAAGAACCACCCATTATCGTCCGGGTGTGTTCCTAGCAAGGCTGTCTGCTCACACAGACCGGCAGCTTAGTCAGCAGCACTCACAGCAGGAGGGATGCGAGTCGCGTGCCTTCTTTTCGTCGACGGTGAAGTTGCTCCTGCAACATCTGCCGTCTTTCACGGCCCACTCACTGCTCCCCAGAGGAAGAACGTGTGTGCACAGCCAGTATCTCTCCCGAAACGACCACTACGACCGTTGTCCTACACTTGCTCCTGCTCTCTTCGCTCGTTGCTCGTGCGGTGCTTGCTCGACCTCTCGCTGTCTCTTTTCCCAACAGTGCCCCCCCCCCACCTACTCTATGTTTTCATTCACGGAGCCTCCCGAAAAAAATTGGAAAAATGCCTGGTGACCTGGTGACTCATCTTCCCTACGAGAACCGCACACTTTCGCGGCACCATCATCGCCTTCCCGCTGTGGCGTCAATAGGGCGCAGCTGGGGACGTGTTGAAGCCGCCGTCCTCATCCGATCTCCTCGACCCGCAACGACCGCCGTGCTCGCCGTCCCCAAGTCTGTGACGCACAAACAGTCTGAAACGTTTGTCCTATTCGCTGACGCACCGAAGACCGAGGCACGTAACCGGAAGGGTGAACAGGCGCGCACTTCGTCCCGTACCCGCTAGATGAGACGCGAGCAGAAGATGAGGGCCGCGGCGACCTTGCTTTGCTCCCTCTCCGTAGCGAGCGCCTGGTTCGTAGGGCCCCCGACCTTGGCTGCGTCGTCGCATCGTCACTTCGATTCCACAACTTCGCGAGCTTCATCGCCTCCATTTTCTTCCACCGCGCAAAGAAGGCGGCGCAACGCCGCCGGGGTGGAGGCCGCCGATGCAAGCACCACGAGCGGCAGCATTCGAGGGCGGAGGCGCGCAGCACCGGCGAGAACAAGCCATCGCATGGTAGCGTCTTCTAGGAACTGGGAGTGGGGTAGGGCGAAGAGCAGCGGGGACGCCCCGACTCCCGCGGCGCAGGCGTTCGGCAGCGGCCAGGAGCTCAAGCTCGGAGTGCTCCTTTTGAACCTCGGAGGGCCGGAGCGCCCGGAAGATGTGCAGCCCTTTCTGTTCAACCTCTTCGCGGATCCGGACATCATCCGACTCCCGAAGCTGGTGCGGTGGCTTCAGAACCCCATCGCTGCGGTGCTCGCGGCCCGCAGGTGAATAATAGGCTGTTTACGTTTCGATGGTAAATCACACAGCAGTCCGTTTTTGCGGACCCGCTTGCTGGGCGTAATCGTCACGAGCATCTATCTCTCTGTCATCATCGCCGCGCACACACCTCAGCAACGCAATGCTGCTATTCGCGTATGTCGTTGTCTGTCCGGATTCGCTCGTCCTCCAGTTCTAAGGCAGCCTCTATGCTGATCGTTTGCTAGCGTCCAAGTGTGTAAAGATGACGTCTCCAGTCTACAGATGCATAGCCCCCGCGACACACCCCGTACTTGCCACCTGCGGGTTACCGTACCATTCACCCACCCTGAGGTCTTCTCCAGTCGCTGCTGTCGTACTGCTGCGGTACGCGGCAACCACGTACACGTGCATGTACGCATCCGGTATGCACAACGCCTTATCACATTTCCGGGAATTCTTCCAAGAACACAGCAAAATAAAATGCTGCTGACTGCGCACGATGCGACGGCAGACAACCACTTCGTGGATACCGCTTGCGCTGCTGCCCTCCGGCGGCCGGAATTTTGCTCTCTGTTTTGGCACGCGCTCGTCGGGGTACAGTACCAGGATATCATGTGCATGGATCCCGAGTTCCCCCCATCACGCGTCGCTGATACACATTGCATACACAGCTCGAATCCCCCTTATGCTTCCCCATCGTCTCCTTCAGCACCTTGTACTAACCAGCGCCTGATCGGAGTGTCGGGTACGTTTTCGGCAAAACAGCCGTATGTCACCGCGTCCGAGTGCTGACGGGGAAACCAACGGTATCTCCGGTTACTGCACTAATCTCCCGCTCCAAGCGTTTTGACACACCCCAGTTTTTTTGTCGTTGCGGAAAAGGCAGACAGCGATAGGCGACAATCGGCCTACCGTAACAGTTGCTGAGCCCTATGCATTTATACGTGCATCAAGACATTACCTAGCAAGTGACTTCGAGCAGTTCTTGGTTGTACATCTGTGGCTTTCAATGATTAGTGCTCTCACCCTCCAGCCAACAGTGACCGGCGGTACAGCAATTTGCATGGTACTCACATGTGGTTGCGCCGGCGGTCCGTAGCGGTGTCAAGTGACCGTGTGCAGCAAACGCAACAAAACCACGGCGGGATCTAGAATGGTTGGTGGCCCACGGAAGCAGTGCCACGTCCAGGAAGAGACTCGGGTGTGTTACCGTGGATCCCCCCACCCTTGCCCCCATTCACGTGCCCGAAGGCTGAAATTTTCTTTTCCTTTTCTCTTGGTTACTTGATTGCAACACGCACTTTTTTTTACTTTTCTGATCGGCACTGCCGCCTGAACCTATCGTCCCGCCTACCGCTTACACCCCACCCTGGCGATTTTCCCTCCTTGGCCGTCCCCC